GCTCTGCATAACGGGATAAACCCACTAAAGCGAAGGCCTTAAAGGGCGAAGCTTATATGACATAGAACCACAAGAACAAATCAGCAGAGAGCACATTTTAAGGACATGGGAGGTAAATATTTGAAATTTGTTTCCATAAAATGTTAACTTTTCTTGTTAGCTCTTTGTAGTGAAGCCGTGTGAAGTGATTTGTTCTGCAGAATTCAGACGCTGGTTAAAGTTGTTTTTAAATAAAAACTTGTCTATTAATGCTGAAGTATTGTGTTTGCATTTAACAAGCCTTTGCTGTAGAGTTCATGATGTGGCAACCCTGTTGTCAGCAGCTATATTGAAAGAGGGGAGGATTTTGTGAAACTCCTCCTGTTCCACATGCAAATCTGCTTATGGAGAATCCGAATGTTGGATAACGATGGAACGCCATTAGATTTAATCTCTCCCCTTCCACCCAAGATACAGCTGGCATGCACGACACAGACTGGGGAAAATAACCTTCAGCTTTATATTCGTTCAAAGATGATCTTGACATGGGCCAGTAGTAATTTACACGTTCGTGTCAGGGATGGTGTGGGAATTAATAATAAATTCAAATGAGAGGGAGTTCATCTCTGCTGTCAGACACTTTGTCTACTGTTTATGCAAACCCATTCATAATTCCTGTTAGACAAACACCTCTGTGCCTGTCTGGATCTCATTTATGTAACACGCAGCACAAGAGTTCCCACAATTGTTCCAAATTTAAACCTTTATCTCAAAGCACCACTCTCACTTCTGTTAAATCCTCATTAGTGCCATATCCACAGTTTCTGTCTGTTTCAACAAGATGCGTTTGCTTGGACAGATGTGACTTCTTCATGCAGCTGTCAGCAGACCCTTTAAAAAAAGATAAAAAAATGTATCTGCATAAGAGAGCATGGCTCTAAATATTCACCAGTTCGTGGTGATGCTATAGATTGCTGATATTTGTGATGTCAGGAGGATAAATCTTTTAAAAATGCTTTAGTTCACGTGTTTTGTCATAAAGCTGTTATTATTCTACTGTCACAACAAACTGTAAATAACATTTTGTTGCATTTTGTAGCTTGTGATATAGAGATGATACTGTGTGAGATTTTATGACTTAAACACATCACATCTATTTTTAGACACAAGCTTCTTATTCAGCTTACATCACTACACGCTTAAAACTGAAAAAGTTACCCATTTATACTAAATATTTGTTTTATTTGCAGTTTTGCTAATTGTTGACAGGACTTAAACACGTTTAAAAAAAATGTTTTGTTATCTGCAGTTGAAATGTGTCAATCAATCTGCAATACAACATAATATTTGCTTTATTTATTTTTGCTCCACTAGTTTTTAAAATATATATATATTATTGCTGTTTACATAACACAGTTATATACCTGTTACATGATAAAAGAGGCCTCTGGGTAAAATCTATATTTGATCGCTAGGCGACAGAGAAGGTTAAAGTTGCACACTGCGGCTTGTTCTTTGTGAGTCCTGAAGCTAATCTTTGTGGCATCATCTGATTATGAATGCTGAATAATTTTCACATGTAAAATAATATTCTAACTCTGAAAAGGTGTATTTTTCTTGTAAATTGTTAAAAAAAAAAAATCTAAGTTGACTTGTCTTTTTTTATTCCTGAGATAAACCTAAATAATAAGTTGGCTCCCAATGAAGTTGAGGTTTTCACACGTAAAACAGTCTTTTATGTTATGGCATTCACGTTTATTAATTTCACATGTGTTTCTGTCTGCAACAGTGTGAAGTGTTAGGCCTCGGCCCAGAGGACCAGTCAGTTAGTGCTGAAGACAGCAACGACATCTGCATCATCCCAGAGGAGCAGCCCAGCCCCCCCTCGTCGCTGCTCTGCACCGCAGATAACGGCAGCGATCAGAGCTCCTGGCAGACGGAAAGCTTTCCCGTGTCTCTGGCTGGCCACGAATCTTGGGCGCAAGTCGGTGCAATGGACCCCGAGGACGTCAAGAGCCTGGACAGCAACGAGGGCGTGGCTCTGGCTGAGGAGCGCAGTGAAAACAACTCCTCAAACTCAGACATCGTGCACGTCGAGCGTGAGGACACCGAGCTGCTGGAGGAGGGAGGTGACGCCGGAGCGACAGAAGAAAGCATGATCAGTGTTTTAGGCACAGAAAGTGAGCTGGCTGAGCTCAGGGCTGAATTTGGAGACCAGACTCCAGTTGTTCCAGCATCAACTGGGGCAGAATCCACACCCCCTGCTTCCCTGATTTCATTAGAGCCAGTTGTTGCTGAGACACCTGCGAGCTCGTCTGGAGAACCTTCTCTCTTATCTTCAGAACCAAAGCTTCTTCTCCCTGTCCCCCCTCCAGCTGAACCCAAACCTCCAGCACCTTCGCCTGTTCCTGCAGTAGAACCAGAACCTGAGCCAGAATCAGCTGCTGCCCCTGCCCTAGTGCCTTCTGGGGTGGAAGTCCCAGTTCCAGCCAAGGAAATCACATCAGCACCAGCAGAGCCTGAAGTCACGTCAGAAGCAGCTTCTGACGCTCAGCAGGAAATGGAGCCCATCACAACGCCTCATCAGCCAGAACCAGCTGAGCCAGAAGCCCCAGTGACTGCACCTCAAGTCTTAAGGGCCCCCGCTGTGGAGATAACCGAGGCTTCTGTTGAAGCCCCAGCTGAGGTGGCCCCTGTCGCTCTTGATGAAGCCCAGCCTGGGGAGACCTTTGTAGAAGCACCAGCTAAGGAGAAGTCTTTGCAGCCAGAGCCAGCAGCAAAATTACAAGCCCTGCTTTATGGAGGAGCTGCCCTGGCGTTACTTGCTGCGCTATCATTCGGTCTGATTTTCTTAAGGAGGAGATAAAATTTATTTTAAGACATCCTGATGAAGGAAAATACAAATTAAAAAACTTCAGTAGAAATAATTTAATAATGAAATGAGACCCGTACATATTGGACTGAATTTATCAAATTAAAAATCTTCTGGAAGTTTGAACTCCACAAGTGTCCCTGAGCTGACCTAAACTGATCCCACCTACAGGACTGTAGGAATTTGATTTTACGTTTTCCACCTATTAGAAATACTTCACCGTACTTTTTAGTTTCCTGGTATTTATTTTTTAGTTCACTTTCAGTCTTGTGCTTTAAGTTCTTTGAAGTTTCTTGTAGGGATTTATTTTTTAGACATGAATACGTTACCTTGCTGTTGTTCCAGGTCGTCTGCAGCTTCACAAAATTCAGGGCGATTTTGTACATCGTTGAACCCACAACGGAAAGTTCAATGATGAGCTGATAAAATTTTAAGTTCACATATATTACTGAAGAAAACACTTTAATATTTCCCTTTCTATGGAGAAAAATTAAATTGAAATTTAGTTATATTAAATTTTAAAATAAGTATATTCAAGTTTCGTGCAATTGTGTAAATGTTAAACCGCGTGAGAGAAATTGGGCTATTCTCTCCATGTTATAAAATGCACTTGATATTTGTCTTATTGTAAATACAAGGTGTTATTTGTGGGTTAAAATTTTGAACATTTTGCTCAAGTACAGATGAAAATATGGCCAAAGTTGAGCTGTTTCTTTTACACTCTTAAGAAACAATACACAGGTCATTGTAACATACTTTCAGAATGCTGTATTGTTGCTTTGTCATATTGTGTGCTTCTTAATAGTCCAAAAACACCAACACATCAGGTAACTTGTCACATTGTCTCCCCTCATGCAATAAAAATACGATTTCTTGAAATGCTCTACTTTCTAGGTTTGCATTAGCTTTTAAAGAATGTCATCCATTGATTTTGTTATGAATACAGAGGCAAAAAGCCTTTGCAATAATTCCCAACACAAACATTTATGTTTAAATTAGAATATAGGATCCAAAATATTGATTGTGAAGCTCCATTTTAGCACTCGGGAAGCCCCCCCCCCCCCAGTAGTAAATCTTTGGTTTGCTTTGCACCTCATTTCTTAAATAGTTTATAAATGCAGCAGTCATTTATGAAAAACAAGGATAAGCTGTTCTGTGGTACTGAAGCAGTTTTTACATACGCTGTGATAATTCAAAGCAATGGTCTTCATTTATTTATAGCTAAAAACCAGGACTAAGCATTTTAATTGCTTTGAAAAAGTTATTTTAAATTGAACAGGTGCAACTTAAACTCCCTCACTCCTTTGAATAGTCTGAGAAGTGTACTTTGGTTCCACACAAGCTGACTGCCACACCATTACTTATGCAATCAGTTTAACGTTTTATGAATATTATAAGCGAGTCATTAAAAATCTGTTTTAAGAATAAAGTTTACAACATGTTGCATAGCTACTATATTTGATACAAAAAGTTTCTATCTCAGTAATGCAAATAAACCAGGCTTATTTTTGTCAAAATGAAACTGAATGTACAGAAGTGGATGAAGTAAATGGGTCCAAAAGACAAAATTGTACTTCAGGTCTCCTACTTTAAAATGATTAACACAAACAAACAGGAATTTGGACGTTTTCCATTTATGTTTTTACATTAAATACAATACAACTTAATGCCTTTTAAGACTGAACGTAAACAATTCTGGGAAACCGTTTTTAAGTTACACGATGTAATAAACACAGCTGTGAATTGCAAAATCAAAATATTTTACAAAATGATCGCGTAATTCAAGTATACAGTTGAAAAATACACTAATGAATAGAGATGGAAAGTTGTTTAAAGTGTATTAACCAATAAAAATAATTCAAGTCAAACTCAATTTTCAGTTCCCTATTTTTACAACTGGCCTGACCTTCAACAATTTCCCAGTTTATTTCAGTCAGGAAACATTTTCAGACCACGGTTACACTTCAACGACCTCTCCCAGTTGACTAGTCATGAGGAGCAAGTGCTCTTTTCAATTTCAGTTGAATACCAAGAAATTTCCTGCAATCGTTTTTTCTTTTGAATCTGCAGCAGCTGCTGCTTATGCAGCACGGCAGACAAACTGGTATACTGTGGTGAAGAGGCTTCTCATCAGCTCTGGGGCCTGAACGCAAACTCCCTTTAAAAGGGTGAGAGTCAGGGCCACGATGACCCGCTCCTGGGACAGGTGCTCCAGAGCTGCACCTCGCCACAACAGCTGGTCCACTTCAGATTTAAGGTAATCCTTCCATTGCTGGAAAGCATAAACAAAATGTCAGTAGAAAACCCAACAACACTGGTTTATTAAAATTAAGTGCAGATTTTTTGTTTTAAAGCTCCTACATAATTAAAGGAATGCTCATTGCCTGCCGCTTGTATTTTATGTCAAATTATAAAATTTCAGCTGTTTTGGTTGAACCTTAAAAAAATAAAAAGTAAACAAAACAGTCACACTACATGTTAATGGCTTTCAACTACTACCACATCAAATTTTAGCTCAATACTTGTAAAATAGACATTTTTGTGTTGGCTAAGGGTAAATGGACTGTACTTACATAGCACCTTTCTATCTAGTCAAGATACTCAAAAGCACTTTACAACACAATCTGTGTCCTCATTTACCCATTCATGCAGCACTACTAGATCTATACAAAGTTAATCTGAATCTGTAGAAACTAATCAGTGTTTTTAGATTACATTCATACACCGATGGGACACACATCTGAGGCGATGATGGGTTCAGTGTTTTGCCCAGGGACACTTCAGCATGTGACTGCTGGTGGATTCAAACCCCCAACTCTCCCATTGGAGGATGACCACTCAACCACAACTGCCCCAATTGTCTCCAAAAGTTTATCAGCTGTAAATGTGCATCCAGTCATTGCTTTGTGAGTTTCATTAAATTTGTTCAGTAGTTCATGAGATGTTTTTGGTAAAACACACACACACACACCACTGCTCATCACTGCCCTTCAGCAGCAGCAAGCAACAACAAAAGCATGCTGTGATGCACTGCATTACTCTAAGTATGCACATAGTTTTTTACTTCAGTAGTAATGTAGGAATTCAAATAGTCCGTAGCTCAAAGCAGACTCACATTTGAAGGAGAACTTGAAATCTTCATCCTCAGACTCCGAGCAGCCTGAGCCACAAGATTAGGTTCAAACTGGGCTGCAATCTCCATCAGTCCTTGTGCAATCGCCTGGTAATCTATGGCTTCTTCTGCATGCCCTCCAGCTTAAATAAAAATAAAAAATCACAAAAATAAAATAATTTTTTTTTTTTTACTACTTATCAGTTCAGAAATGTTTCTGCAAAAGTAAAATGTGCAAAAATAAAAATCAAATGCACCATACTTCCTTTGAAATCATTCAACCTTTTATTTATACAGATTAGTCTCGTTGAGTCACGAGGACTCATTTACAAGAGACCTGTTTTAAACAAAGAACACAGATGAGGTACAAACAACAATACACAATCATATAAAAGCATGTAAAATGAAAAGTAAATAAAAAACGAAACAAAAACGGCTACATTATACAACAAGGTAAAATACTAAAAACAGGAACATGTCTACATTGAACTTCATTGTTTAAAATCCCTTTAAGAGGTCAAAGTTGACAACTTCAGATCTTTTTGCAAGGTGTCCCAGGTTAAAAGAGCAGAGTAAGAGAAGGCCCTTTTGCCACATTCGTTCCACACTGAGGGAACGCTGCAGGTAATGAAGTCTTGAGAGCGCACGCTGTAGCTGCACTGATGATGTGACATGTAGGAGGAGATATATGAAGGCAGCAGACCAAGAAGTGATTTAAAGATGAAAATGTACCAGTGTGAGGATCTGAGTGAAGTTAAAGATGATTAGTTGACCAGTGAATACAGGGTGCAGTGATGGGTACGGTAGTTACAGCCAGTTATGAATCTTAGCGCACCATGATAGGCAGCGTCCAACATCCTACAAGATACTTGCAGGAGCATTCATGCAAATAATGTCACCATAGTCAATGGAGGGAAGGAAAGTAGCAGTTATAAGGCATCAATGAATGCAAGTGTGTACCCTATGGCAGGGGTTCCCAAACTTTTCCATGCCATGGCCCCCAAACAGCATTAGCTTCTGGCCGAGGCCCCCTCTCGCAAACCCACAAACAATGCTACAAAACATGTAAAACATGAACTTTTAGAATGTTTTAACTTTTATTCACAATATTTTATTAATTATTACAGCTGCTGAGCATAAAAATGTTATTAAACTAACACTATTATATTCCCACTGAAAAAAATAAGTAAACTGTTGACCAGAAGAACGAAACAAAAGAAATCTAACCTCTCTCTCAATCGTGTTTATCTGGAAATACCATACCATTTCATATATAAAGCACTTAAAACAGCGACAAGGCCAACCAAAGTGCTGTACAGACAGAACAACGGGTAACACACAAAGCAATATACAAAATGAAGTAAACCAGAAATATAGACATAAAAACTATGCAGATAATGACGACTAACCAGTGTGGAGCATACAGGTTCAAACACAGATCCTCTGGTGTTGAAAGCCACCGAATAGCAGTGGGTTTTTAAACGGGACTTGAAAACCGAGAGGGAGGGGGCCTGTCTGACAAGCAGAGGTAACTCGTTCCAAAGTCTTGGTCCTGCTACAGAGAAGGCCCTGTCACCTCTGCGCTTAAGACGAGTTCCTGGAACTGTGAGAAGCAACTGGTCCGCTGACCTCAGGAAAGTGGTGGGACATACGGTTGTAGCAGATCAGAGAGATGAGGGGGGGGGGGGGGGGGGGG